GTGCCTCGTGGGACCGATGGAAAGGATACCCCAAATGTGACGAGTACTAGACTAACTGGTACCTGAATTTTTGTAGGTACATACAGGTGGGTGGAAAAGTAATCGTGCCTGCGGCACATGCGCTGCACCTATTATGTACGACGGCGAGACCTTGCATTTCAGCCGTGGGGAGTTGCGTCCCAACCAACCTACTACGTGCTCATCTTTCTTGTTCCTGCATGTGTGTAGGTTAGGGGAGGATGATGTTTGTGTCTCCTTGTGGGCTGAGGATCGAAAAGAGCCTGCCTGCTTGCTCTCCGGAACAATCACCGAATTCTTTTTAGTCTGAGTTGGTCCTAATTTCTCTGCCCGAGGATATTATTAGAGCAACACCACCACTGCCACCGGAGACAAAGCACGACGGATAATGAAACCATGGGAAGGGGAAGGGCATTATTGAATCAGCACAATTTTCGTGTTCCGTGGACATCATTTTATTATGAAGAGACATATTATATTATTAGAGCTGATTGGCGATCGGGGGGGGGCCTATGACTCTACGATGTCTTGAAGGAGGATGACGAGGAAAGCGTTCTGGAGTTCCCAAGACAGTTTAGCAGAGCTTACAAGACTAGTTCCAGACCCTCCTGGCGGCCATCCCGCGATCCCCGTTTAACTTAACCAGGCGAATTGGGAGGCGGGCGTCTTTCCCCAATGCAGGTGGACAAGCGACGAGCTGCAGGACCATTCCTTATCCGCCAATCGTGCGGTTTCAAAGTGGTGCTCTAAAGCATGCAGCCTGCAGCGCCCCTGGATCGTCCATCGTCCATTGGAACCATTGACTGGCCGTTCACACCGCCGCTGCACAACTGGCTGGTCTAAAGTGGGAGGAGGGCCGATGTCCCGGGGGTTGTTCCTTTAAATATTACTACGCCCGGGCTCGTCGTTTCAGGTGGAGGATCCCTTTGCTTCCACTCGTTTGTGTCTTTTCGTCGCTCTTTTGGAACTGGTTTGCGGTGCTTTTCTGGTCTCGGGTTAGACGCTCTTTTTCTTCTTTACTACTATCTACTACTCCGTAGTAATCCGTTCTTTGGTTGCGAACCTGTCCCGCCGGTCGACATGACTCGCTAATCTTAACCTACTGGCATTTTTTTCTCGGTCGGATCCACTCACTCTCTTTGGCTTCGTGTGCCCGTTGGACAGCGTTATCCGCTCTCTTCCCGTCGTTTTTGTGTCGAGACATTCTTTATTGCATCATAAAATTCTAGACAGCAAACAAACAACTACACTATCACCACAACAAACACCGACTGGGCACTGTTACTCTTCCCCGGTTCACCCTCGGCGGCCATTGCTCTCTCGCCCTGAGACGTGCCCCCCTCGGTGGTAGTGGTCATTGTTGTTGCCGCTGTTGCTTTTTACTCTCATTTCCCAAACCGAGCAGTCGTCGATGATCATTCTCATCGCCTTGAATCTTGTGTTCTTCTAGATTTCTTCCCCCCCCCCCCCCCCCCTCCTCTCTCCTCCACTTCTTCCCCTCCGAAGTGCCTTATAGAGCGGGGGTGCTCCTTTGCTTAGCCGCTTTTCGAGATCTCTTTTTTGTTTTGTTCCCTCAGGTCCTTCTGGGGAACCCCCATCTTTCTACAAGCCTTAATCTTGGTGTCTACTGACTGATAATGAACTAATACTCCCAACATGCGCTCAGCTGCACCTACCACGAACTCTCCCAAACGGAGAGCTCTTCATGAGCGCACCCCTTCCCATACGAATGAGAACTCCCCGCCTTCATCCTTGCGAGCCGTCAGCGAAAAGTACAACGATCAGCAAGAGCCCGACGTGTACACCTCCACGCCTTACCCGACAAAGCCGGAGCAGATCCTTTTACCGCGTCCTGGGAAAGGCCAAGATTTCATTCCGGACTCCCGCTTCCATGTCGATGAAGCGCCGGATCACTATCACGGGAATACCTCCACGGAACTCAGCCACCTCGGTGATAGCAGTTTGATCGACCAGTCGGTTAGCGATCCCTGGGACTTGTCTTCAACGTTCGATGCCGCCAACACCCCGTCGCAGGTCTGGGAAGACGATCCGTCCTCCAGCAAGTCTTCCTTTCCGGAGCCGGTCCTTCACGAATCCAAGCCGACCGATCAGAAATCGGATCAAGGTTCCGTCGCCGCGTACTCAGATGAGGAGCCCAACAGCCTGCCCAGAGCCGTCCCAACGATCAAAACCGTCGTATCGCAGACGCCGTCACGCGTTCCCTCGGGCCCCGAGACTCTGGCTTCGAGCAACTCCAGCCCCAATGTAGTGCCAATTGGGCCGCCTTCCAGTCCAAATTTCGTCGCGCTCGACAGCTCAAGTCTGAACTTCGTTCCTCTGGGTGCATCCTCGAATTCGGCCTCGATCACCCGCTCGAATTCCTTGTCCTCGCTAAACTCCCTGGGAACAGTGATCCGGTACATTGGAGCCGCTCAGTGGACGCATGGATCGTCTTCAGAACACTCCAGCTCGCGCTCGCGTTCGCAATCGGTCCGCTCTAACCCTCCATATCGGGTGCCTTCCGTGCGGTCCAATTCAACACAAGCTCGCGAACGGAGTCACTCTCGCTCTATCACCTCGTCGTCGCGTAGCGGGCCGCCATCCGACATTCAAGCCATCGTTGACAGCGGCGTATTCATCCAATACCCGACCATCCAGGCGCCATCTTCGTCAAGCTCTAGAGTTGACGTGTCACATTCGGAAGAAGATGCATCGGATCAGAACCCACAAGAACCCACCACGGACTTTTCTTCGGAGCGTTTCAGAACTCACCTGTCAACAGTTCCTTCCATGTGGTCCGCCGAATGTGACTCTAGAAGCATTTCTCCGGCCGCTGACTCTGTCAACAGCCAGATGGATCCTAAACGGCCTTCTGCGGCGCTAGTCCGTCAAAGACCCACGTCGTCTTCGATGTGGTTAGTGAGCGATTCGGACGGTGATGAGCGGATGGACAATCTTTCGAGCTTGCCAGCGCGTCCCACAAACCCGGCGGTTCCCTGTAGTGTCTCGTCGGAGTCAAGACAGAGCAGCATGCGGAGCAACATGCGGCCTCCCACCAGTGGAAGCTTTTCCTTCCACTTTCTGCCAAACTGGGCCAAGATGTACTATGGCGCTGGCGAGCAAGCTGAGGATTCTGTCTTATCTGGCGCGGAACCCAGTCGGCCACCATCTGCGCGCGCCTCAACCTCCCACACAAACGCTCTGAACCGGTTACCGACCGCCACAAGCCGGACGAGGACGAGGACGTTTGGCAGCGAAATGCGAGAAACTCTGAGGTGGAAACCTGACCCGCGCGATCCACGGAACCACTGGGTAAGGGATCCCGAATCACAGACCCGGGAACCATCCCGCAATCGACTTCGACATAGCTGGTCCCCTCATCTATTTCCCGACCGGCGCGCTGTTAATCCGAGAAGAGGTACCTGGGGTGCACCGTCGCTGGATTCAAGAACGGAACCACTCCTTGGGCGAAGAAATATCCAAGTGTGGTCGTTCTGTGTTGGATTTGTGTTTCCTCTCGGTATGCCGCCATTGTGCCCCGTGATAGTCGCCTGACATGTCAACTGACTGTGTACACTAGCCTGGTTAATTGCGTCATTCCTCCCCTTACCGACGAAACCGGACGCTATTCCGGAAGCCGACGTCGAGTCACAGCTCGAAATGACGCTTCGAATGCGATTGTTCGATCTGGAGACACGGCGACACGAAAACGCTCGGTGGTGGAGAAACCTCAACCGTTGGATGAACCCTTTGGGGTTGGTGATTATCACCATTGTTGTATGTTCCCTCTCTTCAGTTTCCGTTGACTATTCGATGCTCATACTTTCGCAGGTCACCTTGGCTGTTGTGGGTACCACAGTCGGCTTCTAGACCGGTACATCTGGCTTCTATAGCGTCAGCATGTCCGTGTCTAGCTGTGCTCTTCTGTCCATGACCTCCACGATTATTGCTTGTACTACCATTTCCCCCTTATTCACGCCCTCTCTCGCCGGCTATGCCGGCTCCTCTCCTCGATTGGATCGATCTTTGCTTTCACCGTTCGGACTCGATTCCTCCAATTATACCCCCCTTCTTCTTTTGCATGCTACATCCCCCACATACCCTTGCGCGCTTGATACCGCCGCATCTCTATTTTCCCCTGCGGCTGCTTGGTTTGTTTACCTTTCTCAAAACACTCGACACGATTGGACGACGTAATGCTTCTAATGTTCTTTTCTTTTGTGCCTTATATTCCACCTGGTGTTCTGGACTCTATTTTAGCCCGCCCTTGGACCATTATTTGGTGAACAATGGGGTGGTTCAATCTGGGAGCGTGAGGCGACGGATTTAATCAAGGGTTCACGACATTGCATGGATATATGTCATTTTCCTTTTTCTTTTCTTTTTTTTTTTCTCCTTATTTTCCTATATCTTCACTTCTCCCCCATGTACTACTTATGGATGCATGTTTTACTTATGACACCGTGACCAACATTATCACAGTATATATACAAGTGGTTGTCGCGCTCTGCGTGGCTGCTCTTGACCAAAAATAAAACAATATATGATATTATACTCATATACTCTCTTTGCACCCATTGTAAATCAGCCTGACCATCCTAGTTGAGCATCAATTCGTTCCCACTTTATTTGATTGTGATGACTGTTCAAAATCGAATTCATATTCAACTCGAAACAAATGATTATTATCCCTTTGAGACAGGTACCAGCATCCTGCTAGAACCGACAGAGCTAAGAAAACACGATATTGTTGAAATATTTCCCCTGGCTTCAACTATGCAAAAGAAAGTAAATCTTGCTGGTTACGCTTGTTGTCGGAGGCTTCATTAGCATATAAGCACGAACAAAACGAAAAGGTGCATCAGCGCCAAAGAAGCATAAATAATATAATAAGAATGAATCATAAGGATGTCACTCATTCAAAGGAGCATAAACAACGAGTGAGAAAACACGCAGCCGCTTTGGAGCAGCCAAACAGTCTAATATACATTCTATCGTCAACCCCGTCAGTCATCCTCGTTCACACGTGTCGAATTAATTGGCTGTAAGCCAGACCGGTAGTAGGTCCTGAGACCTGAGATCTTAAGACCCTTTTTCTTTGGGGGGTCACATGGGAAGTCACAGGATCAAAACAATCATGTGAGCTTGCGGCCGATCTTGTTTTCCACAACTGCTTTCAGTTCCTCTCCACTCGGCATGGTAACGGCACTGCCGCGTCTGCGCCTGGCTTCGATCTCACCCCGAATCTCCTGCACGGCTTCGTCAAAGGCCTGGACAGCGTCACTTGGTAGACCCAGTGTCGGCTGTTGCAGGTTGTCGGAGCTGGTTGAGCGTGTGACATGAGGCCGGTTGCGGGCTTTGAGTTTCTGGATGAGAATGCCCTTGGCGGGGCTGGCAAAGAAGGCAATGCTGAGGATGTTGCCGACGATTCCGTAGAAGTAGACGCTCCGCCAGACGCTGATAGAGGCGCTGAACCCGAGGAAGATGAAGGGCATTACCGTGAAGGACAGAGTGACCTGAGTCGCGAACCAGCTCATAATGTCATAGTAACGCTTGTAGGGTGTGGGTTTGCTTCCGTCCGGAGTGAGGAAGAACGGACGCACATAACGACGGAAATCTGCGCATTGTCAGTGTGAGAGCTCAAGGAACGGATGGGTTGACTAGGTGAACTCACTCTTGGCCCCGGTCTGGATGAACGACCCAAGGATGAAGGTCAGATAGTATCCCGGATAGAAACCATGCCAGAAAGCGCTGGTCGTAAACGTGGCCAGACTGGCACGGAAGCCCGGCTTCTTCCCTCTGGGGGTGACGCGCAAGTAGACGTAGTTTCGCAGCCAATGGTTGGTGTTCTTGTTCCAGCTGCCCAAATATCCGTGGGAGTTTTGCGCTGTCTCAAGACCCCAAGGATCGATATTCTCCAATCGGTTCCAGAAGACCTTGCCGGACTTGGGATCGAACCCATTGTACCCCATGCCAGACAGGATACAAGCACCTTCCGTCAGGGACCAGACGCCGTAGTACTTGAGGCGTGCGGTTAGCCCGACCATGTGCATGATCCAGACTCGTCGAGGGAAAGAGTAGCCCATGTATCTAGGACTCAGGAGGGTTTCCTGATTGTAGTAAGATCCCAGCTGCAGGAATGCCAGAATCCATCCCAGTCCAACCAGGGCCTTCTTCGTGGCAGGAGTTCCACTGCGAGGAATCTTGCGCTTCTTCCGGGTCGGGGGCACCTTCGACGGGTCGGTACCCGGGGGGACCTCGAAAAGAGTAGTGTCGAGCCAGCGACGGTAGTCGACGTATTCGAAGGATGGACCACCGAAAAGAGCTGGGAAAAATAGTACGTAGCCGGTGTAGTCCAGGATAGTCGGGAACTGCGTAATCGCGGCATACTTTTGAGGATCCGAGAGCTGCGTTTGGGGAAGTCGACCATCATGCACGTTCCAACAGAAAGACGTAAGCTTCATGACAAGGACCATCTGGGCCCCGGTGATATCAATCGCCTGAGGGTCGTTGACAATTTGGCGGTAGATGTGGCTGATGGACATGTGGCCCATCAAGAAGATGAAGCCAATCCAGGGCATCAACGATCCATCAATGTAGTAGGCGATCAAATAGGTACCGGCGGCGCTATAGAATAAGGTGCGAAGGCCATCCCATAGGTCAAAGAGGCCGACGAGATAGAACAAGGAGACGGAAATAATGAAGGCATTCTTCTTCCAGGGTTGAGCGTCGGGGATTCTCTTCAACAGACCGGCGAGGGGATACGAGAGGAGGAATGACGCAATGAGCTTCACTGTTCAGCGGTGAGGGACTGATTTGGGGACGAACGAGGGTCAGGACGGGGAGGGAGAGGCATACGCTCATCAACCGAAGCTCCAGTCGCATTGGCTGGATACTCGAAGACTAAAAAGAGAGGCCGTTAGCATGATCTTCACGCGGGGAGGAGTGGCGCGCATTTTCCAGTGCTGCGACGGAAGGTTTCCAACATACTTTGATTGATGAATGGTAACATCGTGGACGCGAATCGCCGCAAAGGACGGTCAATAGAAAGAAAAGAAAAGCTTAAACACCAAGGCCGATTATTAGCTGTGTCGGCACGACATCGAGCCCAGAGAAAAAGTGGTTGAAGAGCTGGAGAGAAGCAAAGGGGAAAAACAAAAAATAGGGCGGGCGGGAAGACGAAGAAGAAAAGGTTAAGGGTAGGTATCTCAACGGTCTGATATCACATGGCAGCTCTCCGATCACCTGCGTGTCTCTCCTCAACCATTCCATCCGCCTTCCCCAGTCAACTCACGTTCCTCTGATCAACCACATTTTTGATGCTGATGTATCATCTCCATTGTCGATCTTGAAAGTCTAGAACAATCTCCACAGATCTGCTAGACCACAACTTTTCCCTCTTCCTTCCTTTTTCTTACCCCTCTCTCCACACACCCCCTCATTCAATATGGATGTCGTCGCGGCGGTGTCGGGATACATCTCCAAGATGGTCACCGCGGGGGACCCTTCGGCGCCGGGCTCTTCCAGCTCCTCATCGGCTAAGATGAAGATATTACTTCTCGACAGTGAGACAGTGGGACTTGCGCTTCTCTCATTGATCCCCGTGGAAGCTGTGCGCTAATCCACCCCTTCCAGGTACCTATTGTGTCCACCGCCATCACCCAGTCCGCTCTGTTGAACCATGAAGTCTACCTCATCGATCGGCTTGACAACGCCGCTCGCGAACGTATGCGACACCTCCGCTGCCTTTGTTTCGTGCGCCCTTCCCCCACCTCCATCCAATTCCTTATCGACGAGCTCCGCGAGCCCAAATACGGAGAATACTACATCTACCTCACCAACATCATTCGCAAATCCTCCCTCGAACGACTCGCGGAAGCCGATTCCCACGAGGTAGTTCGCGTGGTGCAGGAACACTTTGCCGACTTCCTCGTGATCAATCCCGACCTCTGCTCCCTGAACTTGGGCTTCCCACAGCAGCGCTTGTGGAGCCAGTCGCCAGATCTGTGGAATGCGGATGCCTTACAGAGAGCCACTGAGGGGGTCATTGCCATGTTGTTGGCGCTGAAGAAGAACCCGTTGATCCGTTACGAAAAGAACAGTCTGCTGGCGAAGAAGCTGGCCACAGAGGTCCGCTATCAAGTGACGCAGGAAGAGCAGCTCTTCAATTTCCGCAAGACCGATACACCCCCGATCCTACTGATTCTGGACCGCAGAGACGACCCGATCACTCCGCTACTGACCCAGTGGACCTACCAAGCGATGGTGCATGAGTTGATGGGCATTCACAATGGGCGCGTGGACCTCCGGGACGTGCCGGAGATTCGGCCGGAATTGCGTGAAATCGTCCTTTCCCAGGATCAGGATCCGTTCTTTAAGAAGAACATGTACCAGAACTTTGGTGATCTGGGTCAGAACATCAAAGAGTATGTCGAGCAGTATCAGGTCAAGACGCAGAACACGATGAACATCGAGTCCATCGCAGACATGAAGCGCTTCGTAGAGGACTACCCCGAATTTCGTAAACTATCGGGCAATGTGAGTAAACACGTCACGCTGGTTGGGGAGCTGAGTCGGCGCGTGGGTGAGGATGACCTGCTCGACGTCAGTGAGTTGGAGCAGAGCTTGGCTTGCAATGACAACCACGCCAATGACCTCAAGGTATGTGACCTTCTTCTCTCTCCGGGAATGGAGCTTGCAGCAGACCAGCTATTGACACTGTCTCTTGTGCAGAACCTACAACGGATCATCCAACTACCTAGCGTTCCCGCAGAGAATAAGCTGCGCTTGGTTGCTCTGTACGCCATCCGCTACGAGAAGCAACCTAACAATGCACTCCCGATCCTGCTCGATCTCCTCGTCACCGCCGGCAACGTCCCATCATACAAAGTCAACATCATCCCCAAACTACTTGCCTATCACCACTCCTTGCAAGCCCCGCCGGTCGCGGGTGGCTTTTCCGACCTCTTCGAGTCCACCTCCCTCTTCTCCGGGGCCCGAGACCGGTTCAAGGGTCTGAAGGGCGTCGAAAACGTCTACACGCAGCACTCGCCTCGCCTGGAAGCCACTCTACAGAATCTGATCAAGGGCCGCCTGAAGGAGCTGCAATACCCGTTCCTCGAAGGCGGGGGCCATACACGAGACAAGCCCCAAGATATCATTATCTTCATGGTGGGCGGAGCGACGTACGAGGAAGCGAAAATGGTCGCCCAAGTCAATGCTAGCTCACCTGGAGTAAGAGTCGTCTTAGGAGGTACCTCCATTCACAATAGCACAAGCTTCCTTGAGGAAGTCGATGATGCAGTGAGCGGCTGGCCTGAGCCCGCCCCCTCGTCCGCCGCTGGTCGGCTTCAGAGGGCAGTCGGACATTAGCCTCGACTTTTGCTTCTGTGTATCTGTAGCTTTTTTTTTTTATCATTATAATATATCCTGAAATTTTAGCTGTTAGCCAATTTTATGTCTATCACAACAGTTCGCTCCGCAGACCACTATTGTGACTTTGCAAATACAAGAAATGAAGCTACTTCTGCCTCGAGCTACTTGAACAGAGTATACTTCGTACATGGTACCTCCAGTCAATCCGGCCAAGACGCGTGCATAGTTAATAGTTCATTCTATTGAGCGACACAATACATGACTACAATAACGACGCTCTTTCCTGTAAGTACACACCAGGCTATCAAACAGGGAATTCTTCGCGTAAACAAAAATGCAAAGAAGGGGAAAACACAATGTGACGCACAATTAACTCCCTACATGATACATGATTCATCCGTTGTCGTATATGCATTCCCATAAAAAGGAAGATTGTCGGAATAGTAAAGAAAGAGAATGCAGAAAATGGAAAAAAACAACATTTGAACTATACATATACACAAGGGGCGCGCGCCCTCTCTCTCTATGTCTGCATTTACGTCGTGATTAAGATAGTTGTTTCCCGTGGCAGAGAATGCAACGAATATGGACAAAAAAAAGAAAATTGCTTGCTGAAATGAACAGATCCTCCCCACTTCCTCTACTCTCACCACTAAAGTTGTATGAGAAGCGTTTCAGTCATGAGCGTTCATAACGCAAGTCTCCTTGGCGTGCCATATTCGTCGTTTCTTGGCCACATCTGCCCCAAAAGTATCCGTGATGATTCCTTCGTCATCATGGAAAGCTGCCTGCGCCTGTGCGGGATTGGAAGACTCGTCCTCGGACTCCGTTACCGGCTTCAACAACCGTAGTTCCTCGACGGTTGCGCCGAATTCGTACTCTCCTCGGCAGAGAACGGTGACGCCAACGGTGGCCGTAGTGCTTTCGCCGCTATGCAGGATGGGGAGGACTTGTTGGAGCATCCCGGTCCATGCCAGGCGTCGCGACAGATCTAATGCGATGTTGCTGGGTTGGTGGCGGAGGCTGGGCTGGAGGCGGAGTAGAGGGTGGACGGGCCGAGAGGAACGATTGAGGACGGTGACGGTGAGGTTGAGCATGTCGTCGGTTTGGACGTCGTATTTTGAGCGTCCTGTCTGTACCACGCTCTTTGTGTCGCTGGGAAAAGCGGGCTCCAGAGAGTATGTCACGCCGACGTCTTCTAACCGGAAGAAGTCAACCATGCGCGCGTTCAAGCGAAGGTTGCGCAGGTCGACTATTCCTTCACGGACGCCTGCTTTCTCTTTCCAGAACCCGCAGACTCGCTGGAGAATCTCTTCCCGGTACCAGAATGCTTCGCGTGTCGCAGCCTCGGCTTCGAAGGTAAGCTTGTTGGCACTTACGACAAACTGCCGCTTGACACCGGTGTTAAGTATCGGGATAGATGCATGAGGATTGTCGAGATAGGCTCGAGGGAGGACAAGAACGAACCGTGACATCTGGCCTGGCTGGAGCTCCCCGTGAACAGTGTATTGGCCCTCCCCATTCTGGGGCGGTTCTGGAGGCCATTCCATGTCGGATTCCACTGCCTTTTCGCCCACATGTAAGGTGACCGACAAGGCGTTAGGCCAAGCATTGCGAAGATCAAGAAGAAGAATACAGTGATCAGGTCCGTATCCACCCCTGGCGAGGTGGGAAAGCACAGGTGAGAACGGATCACCATTCGCGGATGGCGGTAGAATGTTGGTGCTGATTTGGTCAGGTTCTGCTTCCGCCTCAGGGTTGTTCCACCATGCAAAGTCGCTGCTGAGTGGCAGAATGTCACAGCGAGCGACCTCTATGCTGGCATTGACCGTGGCAGTCAATGGGACGAACAACTGGCGGGTATAGAACACATCAGGTAAGCCTTCCTGCGAGGATCCAATACACGAGTAGTCGATCTGCACGGTGGTGTCCTGTAGACCTGGTTTTCCGACAACATCGATGGTGAACGTGGCACTTTGGCCTGCTGGAATAGAGTGGTCCTCGGGATTTAAACCTTCTCGGCGCCACCGCAACGCTGGTCTGGTTAAGTTTAGTTCCAGCTCGTAAATTTCGACGGGCAGTAAGTCTTTATTGCTCAGGGCCGACTGCACTTGTCTTGTTGTCGAATCCTGGAAGGTGAAAAGGATGAAATCAAGAGGACAAGGCGATGTGTTCCGGAGTGTAATGTTGAATGAGCTCAACTCACCCTCCAGCACCATCAGCGCGGATTGGGATAGGGACAGGGACTCAATCACCAATGATGGTTGTTGGCCAATGACCTTGACCTCGCACACTGATGTGTCTGGGCCTTTCTTGGGAAGTTGTTTGCCATTTCTTGAGGTTGTTGAGCTCCACGAAAGTGGGCGCTCCACAGAAGGCCTCTTGGCCGCAAGCCCAGTGCGTTTGAATTTCCATTCGGCTTCCGGCTTCCAGGGATTTTGGAATATCGGGAACCTGCGCTCTCTGCAGTGTCGGACTTTCACTATGCAGCCGGTAACCTTGAGTGCACCCTCTCCAGTAGCTTTGCCATAGACTGTGATGTCTTGCAAGCATAGCGGAGGAATTAGGATCCACTCTGCCACGGCTTCTAGAGGTACACCTTCGCTGTCGAGGGTGAGTTTTTCGATCTCCAAATCGAACTCGTAAGGGTTCTGAAGTGTGACTTGGAATGCTGCGTATTCACCGGCAACCATTAATGATTCAGCAGCCTTATTACTTGCTTTGGAGAAAGGATTGTACAGAAAAGGGTCTTTTGTGGGCTTTTCGCGATCAGCTGTAACGGCATCCAAGTCAGGCTTTGAGCGGCGAACTGGTCGTCTGGGATCTGGAAGAGAAAGCAATTGAACGCCACGGATGAGAAAATCATCCCAGTACCCTGCCTCAAGCCCAGAAGCGCCCAATTTGTTGGCTGCACCGACAGTCCTCTTGATATTATTCAGAAGTCGGATCTGTTCGTCGCGAGGTAGGTACGGTGGCTGGTAGTTAGATCCAAGCATCAAGTCTCCTCTGATGGTCTGCAGGAGTTCTACTGTGAAACGAAGGACGCCGGTAAAATCTGGGAGCGCTTCGCAAGAACTAATGCACGCTTTGAGAACATCAATTTTCAGGTTGAGATCACCGTAGCCATCCAGAACGGCGTGCCGAAAAGCCCGTTCGACAATAGCAGTTATCGAATCATAGTCGGGCAAGGCATCTTGCCCACTCGCAGTGGAAGATCGTCTCTTCTCCCATTCGTAGAACGAAGATGGCTGGACACCATAGATGTCACCTATAGTGGCAAGAAGCGAGCGCATGCTCTCCTCCATGTTCCCCGGCCCCAGATCAAGGGCATTGATATCAAAAGCCGTGTCACTGAGAGATGCCAAGCCAGCAGCAGGATGAACGCCCACTTCTGCTGCGCCAATCTTCCGGGCTTGGACAAGCGTTGGGACCATGATGGACAAAAGTTCTCTTAGGATAAAGGCTTTCTTCCGCGGTAAATCGAGCACGTTCAGAACGGAGACTACGCCAACAATAATAGGTATGGCGTCCGTGGCCGGCAAGTCTGAGCTAGGAGAAAGAGGCAGGGCGCGGAAAAGAAAATTACCAATGTCGGATTTCCGAAGTATGTTGAGACCACGAGGCCGTTCTGGCCGGTGCAAAGGTGGAAGGGACTCGTTCATGACTATATGCTTCAGAGCAACGTCGTCCAAGGCACCGTCGCGAATACGAGCTGCCGCTAATAATCTTGCCAAACGGATTACTGTTTCGGAGTAAACAAGTTGAGGCAGAGGTTCATCCGTAATGTTGGCGGCACGGTTATAGAGATTCAGGATATTGTTCGCCAGGTCAGGCAATAGGTTGGAAAGGTTCTGAAGCGAAATAATACGGTTTCCAGGAGAAGACAGACTCGTGTCAAGGCTACTGCTGTATGATAGCTTTGAGGACTTATCGGCGACAGGGTAGCATACAGGAGGGATCTGCCACCAGTTAGTCATATCATACCGACCTTGAGCATCAGGTGATGCGTACCTGAAAGTCCATTCCAGCCCAAGCGACCATCAATAGACAAAGAAGGATGGACTCGAGTGCTTTCGCATGCCACACGTAGTCACTGCTTGCTCTAGCACTAGACGCAGCTTCAACCAGCTCTTTCAAAGCATCTGGCCATCTGCCGGCGAGAAGGAACAGGTTCCCAACAACAACACCTGAGCGTCCCTTGATCCGGTTCTTGGTCCGATCAGTTGCGCTCATACCGCTCACAGACAGACGGTCCCGGCTATGCTCCTTAGACGATGGCAGCGAATGTATTTTGCCCAGTGAGTTGGATCGGTTGGCCAATTGTATCGATCGGGTGATCTCATCGAAAGTTGTAGGAGTCTCATGGTCGCTAGGCGCAGGCGATCCTTGTTTGGAGCTCAAGGGAGATTCAGATGCGCCATTGGGGTTGGATGGGAGATGTGTAGGCAGCGTCATCCGGTGAAAGAGCCTGTCTGTCGGCCGCGGGCGAATGTCAGGGCCGCGATGGGGCCCCCAGGATGACGCCTTCGGTGACTCGATGGAAGGTATGCTTTGAATAGTCTTCGCGAACTCGTCTAGCTCCGAAAGCAGGAGAGACGTAATATCACACAGGACTGTCTTCATTGTAGTGGCCTTCGACGCCTGAGGTCGTGGGATCCAGGAAACGTCCCCAGGGCCATTCGTGAGCTTATTCACCCCTTCATAGTCGAAGATAAGGAGCTGATATACTAGTGCTCTCGGATTGCTCTCCTTGAGTGTTTCGAGTTCCTGTCGAAGTTGCTCCAGCTCGCCCGGAGTGGGCGGCTGATCTGCCGCAGATGCCGTCTCACTCTTCTTCACATTCTCGCCAAGTTCTGCACCGTCTGCGATTGCGATGATGACCAGGGGTTCTCGGTATATCTCGAAAGGGAAGAGATCTAGGTGAGATGTTGGAGGCACGGAGTAGGACAAGTCGTAAAGTATCATGCCGGTAGGGAAGGCGAGCGGGGAGAACATGTCTATGTCGAGAATCAGTCAACCACTGTACCCATTATGTCGATACCAAGTCTATCCTGCTGCAGAAATGGAATAATGAGTGCTAGCATACTTCGATTGGGTCGCGCATCAGGACTGATATCACTC